TCTATTCCTTCCCATCAATTAATACCTAACCCCTTCAACATTACAATCCCATCCTCAGATAAGGCAGGGTCTTTAGGTTGGATTCAAGCCACACTCCATCCACCTAGTAGGACCCACTGGCAGTACCCTTCACTCACTTAGCCTGGGTACCATTCCACCTGAAGAAGTCTGACTTAGGTCTGCCTCTACCTAAGGCAAGGAATCGCTAGAATGCATTCCCAGGCTTCCAAGTAATATTGAAAAAGGCAGCCAAAGATGGGGCAAAACCCTGAAGTCCTCTTTCCATGGTTACAAACCATGGGGGTCCGTTCACTTAAACTTTTCTGTAGGGCTAACATTCAAGGGTGTGAAAGGTAAAGTTACAGTCTTCTTCTTGCAGATTCATTGATCCCCTAAAGGACTATGACCAGCTCTGCACTGTTCATGGAATAAATGTTAAATGCAGGAAACAGTCCTTGCTTAGGTAGACTGCTTTGGTGTGTCTCAGTTCTTCCTAACCAGTGATACCAAGAGGGATTAATTTTAGTTGATGAACATTATCCAGGTCTGTTTCTTCCATACTACTTCCCATCCTTACCCTCACAGGGATTGACTTGGAGGCTGAGAACTACTGGCTTTCAAAGTAGGGGTCTAGCCCCAGCTTAGTGGTTAAGAGCATGGACTCTGAAGGAAGGTTGCCCAGGTCAAGTTGAGGGTCCACTCATTACTAGCTGTGGGACTTGAAGCACATTACTTAAGCTCTCTGTGCCTCAGTTTCATCATCCTTAAAATGGGGTCAATAAAAACACCTATATCACAAGAGTGTTATATGAATTAAATAAGCTGCTACCTGCAAATCACTTAAAATAGTCAGTGCACAAAATAAGTATTTGATACTGTCATTTTATTTCCTTCTCTTTCCATTTGGGCTCCCTCACTTACCCTGGGATGAACACACTGGGTGCCCAAATGTTGGCTTTACAGTAGCAAGTAGGCTGTTTGATGTAGTCTGCTCTCATATATACCAAGAACCTAGGAAAGAAGTGATCTTCAAATCCAAAGCAATCGTCTCCCATAAAGAAGCACTATGAGGGAACAGGGAAAAATTGAGGAGTGATGCAAAATCACCTCCAATGACTTCCAACTTCAGAAAGACTAAAGGGCAAACCACAATTATCTCCCCAGGCTTTGTGCTCACCAAACAGCAGTCAGATTCCTCTACAAAGGATAATTGTGACTGTGCCTATGTGACCGACCCCGGAGTCTGAGATGGTATCTGGAGACTCCTCCACGGCCAGGGCAACACTCTTCCAACGCTAGGGCTACTTTATAAGCCATATCTGTTTGATTTTTATCTTATCACAAGAATAGTGCACGGCAGCCTTTGAGATGAAAGCAAATCTTCATTTTTCACTGCTGCTAAAGGACTTCACAGAGAGTATGTGCAAGGTATAAGATGCCAGATGATGGTGTGAGGCCCTCAGAAGAGAGGGTGGAGTTGTTCTTTTTCTAGAAAGACATAAACCAGCTAATGAAGTTAATGCTTTTAATTTATTTTTGTATTCATTTCACATGTAAAAAACAAAAATGTTCTGAGCACATACTGTGTTCAGAGCACTGTATTACGTACTGAGGATAAAACAACATGTAAGAAACAATCCCTTCCTCAGTGATCATAAACTCTAGTGTGAGAGACAGTAAACAGTTGATAACAAATCAGTATGAGAGAGGGAATGGCTGGTTTATTTCCCATCAACAAACCAGTTAATAGCTAAGACAGAGTACAATGCAGGAAGGCCAATTCAAGACATATTTACTGTGAGGCCAGTTTATGAAATTGACTATGCCAGGGAAAGGTAAGAGTGATTAGGGGGATCACTTTGATTCTCATTGATGAGTTTCAAATTCAATTAATAATACCATTATTAAATGCTTAAGACACTTATTAAGTGTTTACTATGTGAAAAACATGGTTCTAAGAAGCACTTTAGATCTTTTAACTCACTTAATGCTCACAAGATATTGAAGTAAGTACTACTATTATCCCATACTTTATGGCCAAAACAAGAAGTCTCAGAGAGATGAAGAAACCTGCCCTATGTCACACAGCTAGTAAGAAGGGGAAAAGGATTGAAACTCTAACACTCTAGGTTTAGTCATTTTTTAACCAATATGATACCTTGTCTGACCAGAAGGCCTTCTTCAGACAGGCTTGTCCATTAGCCAAATAGCTCTTACTACAAAATTTGATTTGCTTTATACCCAAAGCACCATTATCCTCAAAGGCCCAGCTAATCATTGCCACAGGAGGCAGAAGACGCAGAGACCCTACCTAACAAAGAAGACCCTTGGGCTTGTTGTTATGGAAGGAAAGGGAGGGAATGAGAGGGGGCAAAAGAGGGGGAGGGGAGGTCGAGGAGAAGAAGAACCGCTGCTGCTACTCAGGTGAGCTCAGAAAGGGATCCAGAAAAAAAATCACCTGGAGAAAACATAAGACTACACAGTAATAAAGCCTGTCAGTAAGTAAGGGAGTGACAGAGTCAAACAGAAAACCAATTGCCCTCATCAGTGGAAACCCATTTGGCTAGATTTTATTTCTTCTGAGGAGCCCTCAGCCTCTCATTAACCTTTGTTAATTTTTAGAACAGCAGAAGAGAGGGATAAGAGGCTGATGGGCCCTTTCGGACAGTGAATTTGAGGTCTGTGGGACATTCCAGCAGAGCTGTTCACCAGGCAGTCGGATATGTGAGTATGAAGTTCAGGGAAGAAGTCTGGCCTGACCCCAGATCTCCTGGGTCCTCATCTCAAGCTCTGGCCAAGATACTCCCTCAGCCTTTGGCATATTCCTTCAAGAGAAACAGTAAGTCTTTCTTCAGTTTGGATGGCTACTTTCAAAGGTCTTAAAGTAAACTTCACTCAAAGATCTTAGCTGATTTTGACTAGTATGCACCTGGGTGTCAGCACATCCCCTATCCTCAAATGCTGTGAGAACCATGGTTGGCAGAGTCGGTGAGCCGCCATGAATCTAGAACTCCTCTCTACCCCCACAGCCCAAGAATGGGTGGCCAGTGGGCCTCGAATGCCCCTGCCCTTCTCCTGGTGAGCGATACAAACATCATTTCTCTCTCCCACAAGCCAGAAAAGGTGTCAGAAACTCAGCAGGCTATTTCCCCCACTTTATTCCATCCTGATAGGATGCATATCCCATGGATGATCAAAAGGTGGCCAGGTTATATTATATCAATATCTGCAAGGCCATTTGTTCCAGTTCACTTTTTAAAATACCATTCAGTACTTACATTTCAACATAATTTAATATTCAACTTTTTTAACATCAAGAATTAAAAAATAATAATGGTCTGTCATATTCTCAAGAGGGAGCCCAAGGAAGGCTGGTTCTTGCATTTATAATCCAAACAAGATAGGAAAAATAAAACTGGAGATATGACATCCTCTTAACGTGGGTTATGCTAGGGATTTAGAATGGTTAGTGGTTCAGTGATTAAAAAAAAAATCTGTGTGAACTCCAAGAAACCAAAAAAGAACTGAGTTTGTTTGCTAACCAATGAGTACAACTGTTTGAACGTGAGTCCAAGGCAAAGCTCTCGTTCTAGCAGGCACTGGGGTCACAGGAGCTTGTTTAAACTCATGCTGACTCAGTTAGCAAGCCCTATGCTTTATACGCCCTTTTCTTTCTACCCCTACGGTCACCACCTTTAGCTAGATGTCACAGAGGACTGGGGAAAGTCTAGGAGAGAAGATAAGGAATTACAAGTTATAAACCTGAATGGGGAAAGAAGTATTTTAAAAGGGTAGATCTGAACGGGATGTGAAAATAATGCAGCACCTCATGGACGGGAACATCGCATTTCCTTAGCAGACGTACTAAACCATATCCTTGCCTTGAATTACACTTACAAACTAAATTTTATTAATTAAAATGTAATGTAAAATAAGTAAATAAAATATAATGTTAAATTGTATCATTGGACTAGCAAGCAATGATAGAGACTGAAGTAACGCTAAAATAGCAGTTAAGTACATAATCTCCCCAGCTAATGAAGCAGAAGCCATCTAAATTAAGAGTTAAGGAGGGTGATTGAAGAATCATCAGTAATAAAAATGGATAGCCTGTACAAATGAGGTTATCGTGAAGGAAAATGCTGGGGGAAACAGACAGATGGTTTGTCATAACTCACAGAAGAGAGAGCTCCTGTGTGTGTACAAAGTACGAGGGAAAGGAAATTCAGGGCCCTACATCACGAGGTGCTAGGCAACCTCTACAAACTTCTCCTCCCACTGCCCTTTGGTCCCCTCACAAGGGTCAACCCACTCTCCTCGGTCTTTCCCACCTCACTGCTGTCCACACCATCATCCTAACCGAGCATCCTCTAACTGTGACCCTCTTCCTGCATCTTAGTGTTATTCAAGGTCTAGCTCAAGTCTCATGATGTCTGACAAATGCTTCCCGACAAGCCCAGCCCACAGTGTCTTCCCCTTCCTCTAACCTCTTACGATCACTGTCACACATTAAAAAAAATAATCTCCCAAATATAGGGTAAACCAAAAGTTCCCTTACAGACATTTCAATTGAGCATCTACTTTCTCTCACTATGGGGCATCTGATCCCTTCACTAAATGAGAAGTTCTTTAGGGCAGGGGCTGTGTGGTCACACATCTTTAAATCCTTCGTAGCACAAGGCCACAGCCAGTGGATGTGAATAAGCGGTATGATACAATGTTCAAAGGAAAGTACTACGTTAATTATGAGACTATTCTGATTCTAACACACCAGATGAGGAAGAGAGAATGAACCGTAGTTATCTTTTCACTCAGTCCCTCTTCAGACAATAGCCAGACTGTAGACTTGAGGTCAGGTAAGTGTGAAAGTAAATGGAGGAGGGGGCTGGAGTAAGCAAAGCTAGACGTGGACAATGGAGAGTAAGACTCTCCTGAGGTAAATGCAAGACAGACAACGGAAAATCAACAGTGTTCATCAGCAGTCACCTATGAAAACATACCAGTATTTCCTTGAGCATCTTCTACCTTGTTTGACGAAGGCAACAGAAAAGACAGCCTGGTGAAGTGAGGGCCCTGAAGAGACGGTTGTTGCTGCTGCTGCAAAGGTGAGGTTCTGAGGACTGCCCTCCAGTCCACCTGGCTAATATCTGACCTTGATCGAGTGTGCCCGGGCTTAAAAGTGGTGTTCTCATCCAGTAAGTCATTCACAGAACGAGGTCTGTCCCTCCGACGCTGACAGATGTTGAAAAAATTAAAGGTGGAAGCTTCCTTTTGTTCCATCCAGGAAAGATTATCTGGGGCTGTCCCCTTCTGGACCATAAACTGTTCTTTGGCAGGGAAGACATTTTGAGCTTTGGTTTCTAAGAGCCTGGTCTTACAGTGGTCCCAAATCATACCCCCCTTGCCCAAGGAGGCGACGTTTCTGATAGCACCATTGTCTATGTTACTGAGTACCTCGTGCCCCACCAGTTCAGGGACTTCCTGAATCCCATAAACCTCCGCTTGCTGCACGGCCTTTTCCAGTTTACTATCAAAAGTGCTAAAGAAATCCTCAGTAACTTCCAAGGCGGGGCTGATATCGTCCACTTCCAAAGCTTCCATGTCACAGGCTCCGAGAGGACTAAGCCCCCTAAGCTGGTTCAGGAAAGGGCTGCATGAACCTTCACCCAGTGAAGAGAGGTGCTTTGGGTGACGTGGTTCTAGAAACAACTGGAAGGAACTTTCATTCGGCTGCTCAGAGCAGGCCAAGCACAAGTGTGGTTGATGTTTTCCAAGTCACTAAAAGCATTTGCTAGATGATAATAGTCATCAAGAAAGATGCTGGGAGACAAACATTCCTCTGAGATTATTCTTCAGTGAGATCTCTGTAGAGACACAGGAAGTGCTGGTCACAGCAGTGCCGCAACCATCTTTAATTTCCTGAAAGAAAATAAACAGAACGACATTGGCACGTGGTTCACTGTGGTCTACACACATGAATCTGCCCAATTACTTCCTATCTTTGCATCTCTTCTACGCCAGTCATGCCCAAAGGCGGACAACACCCACGCAGGAGTTCCACTGTCAAGAGTACCCATCACTACTTTGCATTAGAACTTACGCAGAGCAGGGTGGGTCTCTTGATAAGCGGAATTAAGATCAATAGCTTTTACTCACAGAGAGAAGCCTTTGAGAGCAGTTGTGAAAAGACTGCCCTGGCCAATCTCTGTGATCTTGCTGACCTAAAAGAGTAAGCAACAGAGAGTAGGAATTCTGTGACAGGGCCTATATTGTAATCAGCCTGAAAGTCATAAATGCATGAGTCCTTTCAGAAACCTTGAAAGTACTGATGATTTGTTGGGCTCAGAAGTGCAAGGGGGAAGTAGAGAGGGAGAACCAGCCCTTTTTATTAACCTGAATGTTATTGTGCTGGGCTTCCTAGGTTTCAATTATGTAATGCCTAATGATGGCTCTGGACTTCACAGTTCCTCCGGTCATCTTGCAGAAAGGCTTCACAGGCTCCAAACTCCCTGAGGCTTTGAGGAATGGCCTAGGAGTATAGGTCCAGCCTCAGCCTCAAAGCTGGGCAGAAACAACCCTAACACCAACCACAAGCTCTGCAAATGCTAGATCCCCAAGGCCAGAGCAAGGAGAGCAGACCCTGACAGTGATGCTATCCAATACGGTAGACACTAGCCACACATGGCTTTTTTTTTTTTGGAAGAGCTATTTATTTATTTAGTGTTTTTCTGGGGGAGTAATTAGGTTTATTTATTTCTTTATTTTTAGATAGAGTACTAGTAATTGAACCCAGGACCTTATGCATGCTAAGCATGCACTCTACCACTTGAGCTATACCCTCCCCCCATACATGGCTACTTAAACTTAAATTTATTAAAATCAAATAAAGTTCCTCAGCCATACTAACTACTAGCCACATTTCACATTCTCAACATACACCTTTGTATCTTTACCGAAAAACGAACAAACAGAACAACTAGGTAAGATCTTTTCTTCCCTTAACTACTTACAAGTAGGTAAAACTAGGCAATTAGCAACACCTTTTCAAATGTGCAAAGGTGTATGTGTGCCTTTTTTTTTAACTGTACAATCTCTATGGTTAATTAAAATAATTTTTAGCACTTAGGTCATTAAATCATTAGATTTGAATCAACAGCATCAATCTACACGGCTTAATGTGTGTAAGTAAAAATTGTACACACAGCTACTTATTTTAAATGCATCAGGAAGGTTTGCAGTTTGCAGGAGCTCTGTGGCTAACCTCTTGTAAAGTGACAATGACTGTGAATTTATCTACTTTTTATATTTTGATATTTATTATGTTAACATTCATGAAGCAAGGCGAAGATTGATTTTCTAGAGATAAAATCAGCTAAAATATTTTTCTAGCTGCAAACAGGTTTTTGCTTGCTGTGTCTACAGCTAAGCCTTGAGTCTCGAATCGTGTGTAGCAGGATTTTACTACTGCTCTAATTTTGAAACTTGCGATTTTTCAGTCTCATCTCGTATACCAGAGGCTAAGGAAAAAAATACATAATAAATCTTAAAACTTGTAGTTCTTTATTTACTAAAATTTCAAATGAACATAATAAAGTATAAGGTTCCCATTTTATAGAAGAGTTTTATAGAAGTTAGTCATCTAAGATCCTTTTATGAAATCTTCTTATCCAGTGCTTAAAATTCAGCCTTTAATCATACCACAGGGAGTAAATATCTTCAAATTGATTTTTTATTTCTTTTTTAATCAAAATGTCTAGGAATATACTCTTTGGGCTCCCTGCTTGGGTATTCACAAACTGCTTAGAAGCATATGACCACTGCCGGCCAGTACTGCTGCCCTGTGGAACACTTGATCCCAACACGTTCTAAAATCATAGACTGTCAGACAAGGAAGGAGCCTTTGAGATCATCCTTCCAACCCCAACCTTTCACAGAAGGGGACACGGAGGCCCAGAGAGAGTAAGAGGTCCCATGAATTGCCTCCTTTAATCCTCATTAAGGGCAGTAACAATTCAACTTCAGAACTATTTCAATGCTGTTTGACAAGGGATTCTGGAAATCACTCATCTACCCATCCATTCATTTATTCAGGTCACAACAGACACAAGACACTAAAGATGGAAAAATGAGTAAGTTACAGCTCTTGACCTAAAGAGGCTCACAGTCTATCATGATGAGCCTAAGAAAGTAAGTCCAAAAAACCACCTTGATAGAGGATGGAAACAGATTTGGTGGCGGAAGGAAGAAGGGGTCACTTGTTAGCAAAGGTGAGGGAGAGATTAAGAAAGCCTTCAAAAGGAGGTGCCCTTTGAGGTGAGCCTAGAAAACTTTGAAGGTATTTGCCTAGATGGCTCAGAAGAAATTAGGAAGAGTAAATCACCTTGTGGCTAGTAAGGGCTTTTCAAGTGTCATATAGAAAATGCCTTTCCTTAGGCAGTGTGGTGAGCTATATACTGGAGTAATAGCAAGCAATCTAGTGTAGTGGATCTAGAGTCAGATCTAGGTCCGAATCCTAAGTCTGTCTCTTATTGGCTATGTAATTTGGAGTAAGATTTCCCCAAACCACCCCTACTCCACCCCAAGTTCACTGGGCTAATCTGTACTTTCCATTCTAGGAATTTCACTATTAGTCTTTCCATTGCTT